CACGATCCCGGCACCGAACCTGGACCTCCGCCGTGGGAAGCCGGCGACTAACCGCCTGTGCTATGGCACGGCCGAAGTTTAAATATTTTTCAGAGAAGTGTTGTGCTTCCAACTTCTAAATAGAAGAAAATTGTTCTTTCACTACTCAGCGAATTAGGAAAGGTTTTTTTACTCGAGCGTTACTCAGTACTTCGTCAGCCGGAATACCTCAGTCTGTCTAGCGACTGAGCCACAGTCTGGATGACCGAGAATCCAGGGTTCGATTCCTGGCAGGGGCAAGATATTTTCTCTTCTTCAAAGCGTCTAGACCGGCTCTGTGGTCCACAAAGCGTCCTATAGAAGAGTACCAGGGGGGTTAAAGTGGCTGTGGCGTGTATCTGACCATTTCCATATAGTGCAGGGGCTGAGAACGGTGGAACTATATTTTCACCACCCCGAACGTCATCAAGACGTAGTGTTCAATTAATTTAGTACAAGGATAACTTCGATTTTTCTGCATTTTATTATTCAGTATGCTTAAATTTAGAAGTAGGGCAGAGAAAACCAGGAACCAGCAATGCATTCAGCTTGAGGACATCCAGAAAGGGCGTCGTCTTCTGGCATCTGCATTCTTCTACCTTCTAAATCTATTTACTGCTCCTTCATGGTGAGGTCTGGACGAGGGAGGCTGCAGGCTGCCGAACACAGTCAGCAGAGGTTCCGATACGAAAATCGTCAGTCGAGTTTATCATAAATTCCTGACGCTGTCGTTGCAGAACTTCATCCTACAGGGCCTCCATAGTGGGGGGGAAAAAATTATTCTGCCACCCAATTCTCAGTTAATTTGTTTCTCATGACCTTCTCTTAATTTATGTGATTAATGTCTAGCCATTTGTGAATGTCTCCTTTTCTAGTTGCCTATGTCGGAAAATTATTAATTTTAAGACTGGTAAGGAGCCGTATTTACCATTATAAGGTGACATGGCGGGAGATTTATCTCGCTTGGAAATAATATAGAAGTTCGCTTCATTGTAGTAATCGTCATTCTTTGCCGGCCACAGTAACCGAAATGTCTAAGGCATGTACTGTTTTCGCTCGCTTGGAAGCCGGGATCGTTGGTTCGAATCCCACACAAGACATGAATGTTTGATATATGTATATGTTTATTCTGTGTTTGTGTTGTCTTGTGTTTAGGAAGATGCCTTGCGACAAGCTGATCACTCGTTCAAGGAGTCCACCATCTATAAAATTATAATGAAACTGAAAATCAGAGGCCAGGGCCCAAGGGGGCTGTAGAGCCAGTGGTGAAAAATCATCATTCTTGGTCTTTCATTTTAAAATTGGGTGTGCTCCACGAACAAGCCTGTATTCAGAATCGGCACACAGAATTACCCACAGCTGGTCAACATTATCATTTTCCATACATACCATTTGTCTTGGGACTTTTTTTTTTTTTTAAATTTGTTGTTTGAGTTGAGTTCTTAGCGCTTCGTCCTCGTCAATTGTCAGTTCAGGATAGATGAGTATGCAGCATTGGGTGGAATGGAAATCAGCAAGGGGGACCGAAGTACTCGGAGAAAACCTGCACATTTACTCGTATACTTTGACAAAGTACAGTATATTGCTGTGGATCGAGTAACTTTGTCTGACATAAATCCCACATGATCTGACCTAGGACTGAACCCGGGTCGCCATGTTGGGGAAGCCGGCTACTAACCGCCAGAGCACGACGGTGTTATAGCTCAAGAATGCAAAAGGTTTCTTGTTTGAGACCACTTCACAGTTTTTTTCATTTTCAAATATTTTGCCTGCCTTGGAACATTATCCTTCCTGCAAAAGAAGAATAGTCTCTTTGTTGTCACATTTCTTTTATTTGAAACAAATTTGCTTGAACACCGTTCTCCAAAACGATTTGCCTCCAGTCAAATCAATTTCTTCTTTGAAGGTCGCTAATGCAGATTTTAATGTTGTGATTTTCCATTTAATCACGTGCAAACGCCGGTTGTCTCATTACACATACGTGTAGATTAAAGTCATTATATCCAGTTTTTTACAACTGGCCTTGCTGTTGTTTATAAGGAGGCTTAATTTTCTCTAATTTAATACTTGTCAGGTCCACTTCCTTTCTTATTTTGTGTATAGTATTTTCAGCTTGGTTAATATTATCTCGGCTTCGGCTGTAAATAATTTTTGGTTATTATTTGACTGCATCTCCAAGAACATTTGCTCTAAGATAATATTTGTAATGTACTTTTGAGTAATTTTTTGCGCACCTTATACAAACAGACACACTACATATAGGCTGATTGATGTACATGCTTGTTACAAGTAATACCTGTTCCTTCCCGCGCCATGAGAGGCTTCAGAAAGATCAACTCCATCTACATCTCTCTCTAGCCGTTACGCTTCTTCTCCAGTGTAAAAAGGTAAAATTATCCTTGTAACAGGCCATGTAGGCCCATAGGGTTGTGAGATGTCGAGGCTGCCGCATTTTCTACACAATCGGCTCATAGATGGCGGTGAGGTCAGCCTTATGCACCTGCCGCTCTTTACCCCCCAGAAAGATTCCTGGTACTCATTTCTGTTAGAGGCTGAGTCGACCCCAGAGCCATAGTGTGGCTGGAAGAATGAGGTCAACTGAAAAATACAATGATCCCATTGGGAATTGAACCTCCCAGCTTGTAGCATAGTGCCTCAACCAACTATGCTACCATGTGCCCCTCCTCTCTAGTGTACTTCTTTATATTTTCTTAAGTCATCTAGCCATTCTGTTCATAGGAATGAGTGAGGACCTTTGCTGTGGGTCTTGTAGTCGAATGCCAGAGGGGGCAAGAAGGAAATACAACAGCAGGAAATGAGAGGGGAAATTTCGTACACCATCATTCATGCTGTCTCCATTGGAATCTGTATAATTCCCATGATTTTACATTAAAGTTACAGACTGGGCAGAAGTCTCCATTTAAAATTTGTTCTCGGCCTTTCTGCTTTCAAAAATACAATACAACCCAGATGGAGAATGAAAAGGCCTAACTTTAATGTTGCCAGGTTGGTCAGATAGCTTGGATGGTGTGAAGATGTAGAACATACAAAATTTTCATTGGGAAACCTCTTTGCTAATGACCCTTTGGATGATTGAGAAGGATGTGGGAGTATGCCACAAAAGATGTGTGTTAAGAAAGTAAGTTAATGAGAATGGACATTGAATGGACTTTACTCAGGATCATCTCCAGCAGTAGGCATTGATATTAGTGGTGTGCAGGTATTGAATGTATAAGGGGTGGGCCTTCTCGGCCCTTGCACTGCAATCTACAGTGGTCTATTGTGCTTAACAAAATAACATGCTGTTTTGACATCTATGAATATAGAGAAAATACACTTTTCAGATGACAGGGGACAGACAATCACATACCTGTATGTATGCAAACAAAAGTAGGAAAGATCTGTGAAAATCCTATATGAGATGACGGAGGGGTTCATATATTTTTCTGTTCGTTATTTACTTAATTTTTTCCCCCTTGGCACTACAGCCCCAGTGGGCCTAGGCCTACCTCCATGAACTTTCCGTTCACTTTGGTTTTTCTAGATCTTACACATTCGGGAGGACTCCTTGGGCGGGTGATCAGCTTGTCGCAAGGCCTCTACCTGTACACAAACACAGAAAAACGCACACACACAAACTAAATATCCATGCCCTCAGTGGGATTCGAACCCACCATCCCGGCTTCCAAGAGAGCGAAGACAGTACATGCCTTAGACCACTCGGCTACCGTGACCAGCATTATTTGCTTATGCTGTACTTAATACACACTTACATATTGTTAAACAGGACAAGAGGATGTGTACAGTGAATTTGAGAGGATTGGAGAAGAATCGTTGTGGCTTGTTGTAAGCTACAGCCCCAGTATATGCTTGGAGTGACTAAGGAAAACCACAAAACCACAGTCTGGAACTCCAGACCTAAATTAAAGTGGGCACCTCTCAAATAAAATCTGGCAGTTTTAATTGGTTATGGAATTGTTCCTTTTTTCTGAAGAAGAAGAATAAAAATTCAAACTAGAAACAAGAGGAGAAGAAGGAGACTTTCATAGTAACTGCAGAGATCAGTGAACTCTGTATATGTCATTGGTACCAGAAGGAATGATCACCTTCACACACCTTCAGCACATTTATCATCCTATCGGAGAGTGGTGTATTATTCAGGCGTCAAGCTATTTAATACTCTGCTATCAAATATCACAGTTTTAAAAAATGATAAAAAGCAATTTAGGTTTGTTTTACGAAATTATTTGCAAAGTAACGCATTTTACTCTATTGATGAATTTGTTGAGCATGTAAGTGGCTCAAAAGTTAAGAGTTAATAAATGGTCTGTGTGCCTGACTCATACATTGTTGAGACTTGCTTGTTGTAAGTGTAGTGGTATGTCTGATGTCTGTTTTTCTTAGAATTTTAATATTTTATAATATAACTGTTTAGGTGATATGGCTTGCCAGCGTGTGTGGAATGGCAAGGTGTGAATTTGATTGTGGTTTCTCCATGACCTATGTGTGTTGTGCTGACAACTTGAGATATTCTGTCATAGGCTTGATTTTATATTTTATTGGACCAAGGACAAATTATGTGTAGTCATCATGAATTGGTAATATGTGACGGAGATGATTGGATCCATGAAATGATAAATAAATGTAAATGTAAATGTAAACATAAACGTAAACACTGTGCCCTGAATTTCACTACACAGAGTGACGAGATTTGTAACATCTGTAATTTATGAACATTTAAGTCTGAAGGAATCTTGACCATCTGTGTTTCATAATAATGGAATTTTAAAGAAAAATCATGGAACATGATTATGATAAATTAACTAGGTAATTTACTTCACTTACTCAGTTAAGTGAATTTGTTTGAAACATACACACACATAAATGTCATTTAAGCTAAATGCCGCAGCAACCTCCCTTCAGAACCACTGCTGTAAAGTAGATTATGAAACAGAGTTTCAAGATGTTTTCGTACCTTTCAGGTAGTCATAATGAACTCTTGGAGCAGTGTTCGAATGGGGTGTAGAGTCATGAGGCGAATGTACAGCACAGTAACATCACGATCCTTGGTGAATGATGGAAACTGTGCATCTCTCAGGAATGACAGTGTACGTAGTTCGTCGTCACATGAGCAGAACATAGTCAAATCACCGTACCTGGACATCACAGTACCAGACATCAATCTAATTGATTTTGTTTGGGAAATGGTAGACATATATCCTGACAGGACGGCACTGGTGAGTATGAATAAAATAGATTTCTGAAGCATGGCTGGTAACCTAATTTATTTCTGAAGAACCAATAGCTGAATATTAAAGCTTCAGTGTTCAAGAAGTGTTAAGTGAACGTAGTTCCATATACAGGGGTATGAAATTTTTATTAGTCTATGTTAATGAATACAGCTGGGTGTATTATCCAGGTATTGGCTCATCATTCAAATCAGATTAATGACAAAAGCCCCAGTCTCAAATAACTTTTATTTTTTGTTTGTTAGGAGTACAAAGGTCATGTGATGAAAGGAATGCCCCTCGATTAATGTCGAACATCTAGCCGAATTTCACATTCTCTTTAAATATCTTAAATGATAACTGTTTCTTAGAAGTACATTCTGTGAATACTTTACAATTTGGAATTTGATGTTGTGGATACTGCTGTCAATATTTTTCATCTGCTGATGTTCTGAGTCCATCACAAAAACTGCAAATAAAATCGACATATGCATAATTCTCATTTGAAAATAGGCCTACTTTTTCAAACTCTACCATTCTGTAATTAGGAGTGGAAATGGCTTCTCAGAACTACCAGATGCTCCAATGTAGACTAACATTGTTACCAACCTAAGCGGTGTGGTGTGTGGCCAGTCAGTTTAATTTCAGTGAAACTTTTATGTCATTATAATTGATTCTGTGAGAATTTAATGTATGTTATAGGACTTCATGTACAGGTCCATACAGAGCCTAAGGTATTGCTTCCTTTTAACTACTTGGTTGCCTTTGATCTATTCTACAGTTTTACCAGTATTACACGTTTCAGAGACCTTTTCAGCCTGACATAGGTACAGTTTAATCTAAATTTATGCCAGTACACTTTTGGCAGTTTCATTTTAATCAATCATGTTCTAAAACCACATTTATGGGCCAAAATACAGTCAAGAGGCATTAAGAAAGGCATTGTTCATGGTGCCTAAAAGTCAGATTCTTGAAGTAGAGAAATGTCACAGAGATGACCATTTTTGGATAATATCAAGCACCAGTCACTGAACAGCCACATGTGTACACAACAACAAATCCCTGATGGTCACTTGCAAACACAACAGTAGAGGAGCTACTTGGGACATGTTTTCCGATCATTCCATAACACAGGGAAACTGCAAGCTGATGAAGGAGTTCCAGTTATCATAGTACAAAACTTCTGTGATGGCAGAGCCAACAAGCAAGAATGTATTTGCATACTTTGTAATTATATGTAAATGAGACAATTCAGTGTCCAGTCAGTCTAATTATTAATCTGAGCCTTGTGTCTAGTCACACTACCATGTGACAACTGGTGGTAGAAGTGGGATTGGATTGTTGGAAATGGATTGGGAGCATAAACTGAAATTGGTGGCAAAAGTGGGATTGCACGGTTGGGAATAGTTATGGAAGACACGCTGGTAGGTCAGTCAGGACCAAATGAAGGCCAGCTTTCATCTCTTCTTGGCTGGTCCTCCTCTGCCTAAAAGTTAGATTTTTTTTTCCCTCCAGTGTTTTCTGGCCAGCTTTGGAGCCCACCCTTCCTTATGGGGTGAATTAGCAGGTGTACAAAACATACACTCATTTCTATCTACTGCCAAATTAACAAAACTGTAGAGCTTTACCTCCACATTGTTCACTGCATGGTCAAATTTGCTTTTACTTTGCCAGTATTTATTACAAAGATATCTGTTAGTAATGTCAATGTGTAGTATGAGGTGATTCACAAACAGTGGCAACTGTATGCAAGGAATATTATTATATTAATGTATTAAATTACTGATAATAGACTATATCTAAAACATCTTTGAGACTGTACCTTCAGTCTCAACCACATTATTATTAAAGTTTGGGGTGAGTCTGATTTCACGTTTTATGCTAACCACTACTGGACCTATTATGCCAAGTCCTGGGTGGTGATAAATTAGTGCAGAGCATTTGGGGGAATGAGAAGTGGCAAGAGAAACTCAAATATTTCTGAAAATCTGCTCTAGTGCCATTTTGTCCACTACAAATCCCATAGGGCCTGATTGGAATCGAACCTGGGCTGCTGCACCAGGAAGCCTACTAACTGCCAGAGCTATGGCACAGTACTCAAACAGATAGGATATATACTATAAAACAAAGTCAAATATTACATTGTGTAATGTGTGATTGCGTTTCAGTTTTTAAGCTTGTTATGTAATGACACTGTCAGTACTGAGACTGTATTATTGAGTAAAGTGTGAGGGGGGTGTTGTTTTAATAACCTATAAGTATTTGATAGTAAAACTTGAACGTTTAACACTGCTTGAACAAATCTCACGTTAGAAATGATCCTGAACCAGTTAAATCTGTCTCCCACCTTTGATAGCCATTTTTCTAAGCTGTGTCCCAGATATGGAGGTCAGCTGTTTAAAGATTTATACTAGGGCTGCCCAGCTTAAAACCACTAGGAACCTTTACTGTTACTTAGGTATCACCAGCAGACTTTATTATGCTTCTTTCTTTAATACAGCCCTACTGATACAAATATCTGCCCTATAACAACCAGATACATGCAGCACAAGCACATAAACAGGAATTAGAATCATAAAATTAAATAAAATTAATAGTATCTATTTGAATTAAATGTTGCCTGGCCAACAGCATGTAAAATCAACCCTAAAGATTTTCCATATTGTGTCAATATTTTATATGATATTGGACGGCAACTCAAAATGAAAGAAATCATCACAGTAATTCCATATTTCTCGAGAATTAATTAATAGGTGTAATACGAAAGCAATTTTCATAACAGTTTTGCGAGATTAACAGTCCTCTGAAGTAGAAAAAAGAGTTGTGGGAACATCCCACATTATCACGCATTTCTGCAACGCTCGCTCTTCACATCACTTTTCACCATCACGCGCGCTAACCAATCAGATTGCTTCAAACGATCGCATTTATACTACGCTCGGCGATAGCCCGCGTCTACACCATTACGCGCGCTAGCCAATCAATTCTTGCTCCTCACTTTCGAGTTTGGCTCCGCCCCACCGACCAGCGTATAAAAAGGAGCGACCCCAGAGTCGAGTTATGCAGTTTAATTCAGTTCATCACCAGTCTACAAGCTAGCCACATCAAGCAACTTCAGCCAGCAGGCTTCGTCGCCAGCGCTCGGTCTTCGGAGACATCGGCAGGCTGCGCCAGGCACGACTGCCTCGGCCCTCCAGCGCTCTCACACCCGACTCACTGGGGCACCGCGCCTGGACTCGCCGGTGGTCGTGTTACGGTCCGACCCACTGGGCCTCTGGCGTAGCCACTGCCTCATGGCTACTACGACCGCGCTCGACGACTAGCCTTCACCAGCAACCGCCGCACTGCGATCGAGCAACCTCCATCACTTGCCGCACGGCAACCAAGCAACCAGCTGCCACGGTCGCACTGCGGCCACTCCACTCACCGCAACTAGCCTTTCTCCTTACCGGCGCGC